AAATTGGTTTGTTTCAGACAGATGCATCATATACCTTATAACACCCTAAGACACCCTAACACAAAACTCCTGACTTTTAAAAGCGGCTGGAGAAGCGCTCCTGGAACCCAGGCTGCAGCTGGGCTGGACTCGGCCAGTGGATTCAGCAGCAAAATGCGTGCAATAGGACCCAGCTGCCTCTCGAATTAAAATTCAACTCAGGAGAGGTAAGCTGAGTTTTTTAACAGTGTGATAAGCTCCTTAGTATGGTCTATGCAGTTGCAAGCAACTGCTGTGCAATAAGCCATTATCTGACTCTAGATGGTGTTTATGCCCATAGCTGGACAGGAAGAAAGGATGATAGACCAGCTACATGGTTGTTTAGCAGCAGCTCCACATATTCCCCTGCTATTGTACTTTCAGATATCCCAGAAGCAGCAAGGAAGCAACCCTGCTGTGGCTGAACATGATAAGGTCTGTTCCTTCAACCTAGCATATGACAAAGAAGGAGAAACAGATCCTGTCTCCACAGGCTAAATAAAATGGCCTCCTTCTTCCTCCTGGTCCTCCTTACTGAACAACATACTGCCCAAACTACAGTTCTGGTGCAAATAGACTGGGTGACATCCAGCCAATTCAGCACCAGAACCAGGGGATAACCCTTTAAAAATGAATTAAATTACCTCCATTTGCTCTGGACCTTCTCAGAAGATCTGGAGCCCTCCATTATGACACTGGGTGGCTGTTTGGACCATGTCCCATTGTGCTGCCTGGCATGTCTGCCACTGCCACCAGTCACTCATTCTATGGTCATCTTCTGTCCATAGGACCCTAGAGATCACCCATGTGATCAAAGCTGGGCACCTCGTTCTAACCTCAGAGAGAAGCAACAGCAGCAGACGCACCAGGCAGTATGTGTGCAAACAGCCACCCAGCATCAGGACAGAGGGCCAAGATAATGGAGGGAAGCCAGAGCAGATTCAGTGCCAGGATACTCAAGGCTACCTCTGAAATATCCCGGCCAGTGCAGATAGCCCCTCAGCTTGGCTCATGGCCACCAGGGAATAATCTCATATCCTCTGACATTTCAAAGATGAAAACAGGGACATGTGTGGCCAAACAACATCAGAATGTGGTCCAGATGTCAAGTTATTAATGAGGACCAACACAAGCTAGGAGAGGTTGCAGCAGATTGCTTTTGCCTGAGCCTACAGGGAAAGGCATGATCCCACCTCCTTGTTTCCTTTCCTATCTGTTGAGTTAACTGAGTGCAAATTACTCTTGCGCTTTCAACTCAGATAACAGCAATGGATATAAGCTGAAGACAAAGGGGAAAAGTGGGAGGATGAAGAGAGTAAATGGGACCTTTTAAAAGCAGCTGGAAAAGTGGGATGTCAGAGGATTAATCAGAACTGACCCTCCCAAACTGGAACAGTTGAAGGGTGTGCAATCCATATCCTTTGAGCTGGGTGCCCGCCTACCACAAATCCCTCCTGTACCTATATCATCTTGCAGAGACTATACATTTAGACTGAAAACAATCCTAAAACTGTCTGGTGCCTAAATAAAAAGGCCATCATATTTTAGGACTGAAAGAGAGATTCAGGACATCTGTGCATTTCAGCATGCAAATTTTCTAAACTCCACTGATTTCTCAACTCTTGGCCATTTGTGGGTTCAGTTGTGGTGCCAGTACATTACTTGCACAATAAGAGGTGTGCAATGCATCTCTGATAATGCAGAGCTTTGGGATCTTGTTGGATTCAAAGGTAGTCCAGCATCAATATATTATTATCATTCCATGCTGTCAATTTTGAAAGCCTCTCTTGAGCAAAAAAAAGAAAAGGAGGGGGGAAAAGGAGTTGTTTACCATCAGCCCAAGCAGTCATTGCTGCTTTTGAAATCATTTATATTTCACAACACTGTCAAAACCTGACAAGGAGCAGATTGCTGGAAGACTGCTGTTGCCTTCTGAATGAAAGCCCTGAAGCTTATATTGGAGGGGGGGATTTCACCACTGACACCTCTCCAATGTGCGTCAGTTGGGCTTTCAACACTGTGAGCGTAATACCTCCTCATTGCAGTGATACAGCTGGCTGGTTTGAATCATCTGGTCCTATGCACTCTGCAGGGACCATTCTGGAATTACTCTCCACTTGCAGCTGAATTCTATAGGCAGTGTTGTCTCTCGGTTTGAGAACATCTACTAGAGCCTTCCCATAATTAGTGCCACCCCGCCACCTTTTTGATTGTACAGGTCAGAGGTGAGGAAAGTGACTCCCACAAGTCACATGTGGCCTTTGGACCCCACTTTTGTGGCCTCCAACTTCCTCCTCCCAATCCTCCAAAGCCACCAAAACACCCATTTTAAAAATATTTGGTGCAATTTTGGGATGATTTTTGCCCAAACTGCACTGAAACCATCAAAAACACCCTCCTCACACCTAACCACCCAGAATCGCCACCTCCTTAAAATACCTCAGTTTGTGGTCAATATACAATACAGTTGCCCCTCCACATTTGTGGCTTTGGGTTTGATCATTTCAGTTTTTATTAATATGTTCTCTCTAGGAATTTCTAGGTCCTATAGTCAGAAGGTGACCACAGATTTGAGCTGGAGAACCTAGAGAAAACACGTCTAGAGAAAACACTTCTCCAGGCATTTGAAGGTCCTCCAGCATGAGTCTATGATCAGTTTCTGGCAGATGTTGACCATAGAGTTTCACTGGAGGACCTGGAGATTACTAGAGAAGTGTTCTCATAGGTAAAAAGAATAGTGGGTTTTTTTATTTGTGGTTTCCCCACATTCACAGGGATCCTTCACCACTAACCCCAGTGAATGTGCAGGGACCACTGTATACAATTAAAATATTTGGAGGTCTCTAAACAGAGGCTGGATGGCCATCTGTCGGGGGTGCTTTGATTGTGAGTTCCTGCATAGCAGGAGGTTGGACTGGATGGCCCCTGGGGTCTCTTCCAACTCTATGATTCTATTTTCCTATTCAGTTGGGTCAATATGGCCTGCAGATGTGGGGGTGGGCTAATTATCCCCTGGCCCTCACACAGGTGCCTACCTTTGGTACATATAATTCTTAGATTTGAAAGAAACCTTGCCAATTGCCATCTTTGGCCCCTACTTATCACAAGGTCCACACCAGGGATGAGCATGAGTAGTTGGTCTGAGAGCCAACTTGTGCCCCACAACCAGTTTCAGTATGCCATTTTCAGCTAAACTGTAGCTGGATATCACTTGGTTGCAATCTCTTGGATTATCCATGGCAGTGATAGAATGGGCTAGAAGTGCTTGTATGTGATCTCTCATTCCTTGAGGCCTCATTGTTTCCTGTAAACCAGGGATAGGCAACCTTTCCCCTTTAAGGGCCGAGGAGCCACAGCCATGTTGGCCAATAGTCCCATGTTGGCCAATAGCTCCCGGGATTCTGGGAGCTGAAGTCCCTCGGCCCTTAAAGAGGAAAGGTTGCCTACCCCTGCTGTAAACCATGCCCTCTGTAGAGTGACTTAGGGAGCTGGGTATGTTTAGCTTGGAGAAGAGGAGGTTAAGAAGTGATGTGATAGCTCTGTTTAAATATTTGAAAGCATGTCATGAAAACATGAAAGCATGTTTGTTTTCTGCAGCTCCATATAATAGGGCATGGAGCAACGGACTCAAAACTACAGGAAAAGAAATTACATCTCAGCACTGGTGGGTGTTCCTGACAGTAACAGCTATTCGACATTGGGATATGCTACCTCGGAGTGTGGTGGGGTCTCCTTCTTTGAAGGTTTTTCTAAACAGAGGCTGATGGTCATTTGTTAGGAGTGCTTTGTTTGCATTTTCCTGCATGGCAGAGAGTTGGATTTGGAGGCCCTTGAGATCGCTTACAGTTCTATGATTCTATGATTCAATGAACAGCAGTTGATTGATCCAGAGGGGACAAACCCATTGAAACTTTGACACAAATGTTCAGAGGCCTTGAGGGTTTATGGGGAGACTATGAGGGGGCTGCATCACATCTGGGGCTCACATGTGGCCCTCTTTCCATCTCTTATCTCTGGGGTTGTCAAATGTTAGGGAGTGGCCTTGAATCTCCAGTATTCATGGGTCACCAATAGATGGGAAAGAAGAGTGCCAATTCTCCAGTTTTTCTGGGAGTTTTTTCTGGGCTTAGCTCCAGGCAAGAAGAAAGAGCTGTGTGCATATCTTCAACTCACCTAGAAGAACACCAGCTTGCTACTGTTTGCAAAGCTTAATTCATTTCTTGATGCAATTTGCAAAGACTCTCTGGGGGTGGGGGTGGGGAAATCTATGAATTTATGTATTTCGCTTCCTCCTTCCCTCCCAGTCATTCTGGCACAAGGACCTTGGGTGACGGCCATTCTCACTGACTCCACCTTCTATTGCCTGAGACAGTTGCTTCACTTTGCCTCATACTATAGCCACCTCTGCCTTCTCTAAGGGCCTTATCACACGGGGTCCCAAGCAGAAGGTATCCAAAGGC